GGGACAGGGATGGTGACGGAAGGCACCACAACGATCACCTCGTCCTCCTTCTTCGTGTGGGTCCTGGTGTACTTGACGTTCAGTTGGAGAGAGCCAGCTGGGGCGGACGGGTCAGTCACCCACACACACACCTGAGTCAGCTGCTCGGTTACCCATTCTCGTGGTGTCGTGATTATATAGTTCCTGCCAAAAATGATCTCTACTGACTAAACCACATTACTATTGTCACCTTAAAGGCTTACACAAAATACACTTTTAAATGAATAGATAAATCACAGTACAGTATATCGCACTATCAAATCATACCAAATTGGTTCGATGTGTCCCATGTCAATTAACTTGTCATTGCTGGTTACTGTCAGGTATTCCTTGACATATAACGGCACTCTTCCTCTTCAGCCCTGCCCTTTCATGAGTGATGCCCTGTTTAACGAAATTCACCAGGCAATACATATCGGCTCCAAGACTGACTAATCCCAATGATGTCTCGTTGTTCTGAATCTGCATACGAGCAGACCACTGTATACTGTATGCACGAAATAATTATAAAGGACACTTGATTCATTCAATATATATGCAGGCGCCCATTAGGAAACAGAAGTACAAACAGATCCACGGAAAACGTTAGCCTTGGAACAGACAGGCACTTCGTTAGGGACGAGCCATCATGGGCATCAGGGTAACCCTTTTTCCTTTTATCCTCTCCTTGTCATCCAGCTTAGTTTCGAAGGCGTGTCGATGATCGCTTTGGCGTCTAGGGCTGCTCTAAGAAGGACGCTGCAATGGACGATCGTTTGCAACAATGATATTTACTCTACACCGTTTTTTCTTCCTTATCTTTATGCGGTCTGGACGATCTACAATACCTTAGCGCAGTACAATATCAGATGTAGGTTGACTCCTAGTGAACTCCTTTTACCCTCGATGAACTATACCACTCCAAACGGCGGACCCCACATAGACTTGAATAAAACACTACTCAACTCCATGATCATCTCTCCCCGTTTTTTATTACAAATTAGTTTAGCGGGAATATCCTGACTTGATTACAACGTTCATATTTCTAAGAATGTAAAGTAGAACAAAGTTTACGATACTCAATACCCAAGTTTATTCTGATGAATATAATAATGAACCATTTTACCTACAACTAAGACTGTGATATTTGGATTCTGCAGATATGTTTACCTAGAAAACAATCCACTAGACAAAACGTCTCAAGAAAATAACATCTATTGACGAAGTTTCCAAATGCGGTGTTATACCGAGGTCTAAAAATAAAAACTCGCGGTTGCCATGGAGATGAGCACTTTCACCTAAATCTGACTATTTGCCACATCTAAGACACTTATTTTTAGGTCCACAGACACTTTTACCCCTAAAACAATACACGAAACAAAAGCCCTCATAAACATCAATAAAGTGGTCCTAGCTCCCGGACTTAATATACCCGTAACTAGGTTTTTGTTGAGTTCATATTAGTCAGGTTTTGAAAGATGAGGATAAATTTAAGTTTTAATATTATATTAAATGTGTATTTTACTGTTTTTATCATATATTTTTTTAGGTAAACATGAAATCAGTCGTGTGAAGCAACACGTCACCTGGTGGCCTTGCCTGCAGAACAGGTGAGAGAGGTCACTGGGTTTCCCAGTCTACGACTCGTTTATATAAATAACAGTCGACAGGTTAATATTGCGCGGCATCATGGTAGGATGAACTCTTTGTTAACACTGAATGTATGACATAATGCAGCAAAAATATTTGACGAATATGTGTGTGCAGTTTGTGGTCTAGTAGGCTATCCAAGTGCACGGGCAGATGTGTTCCGCTGTGGTGAGTGGAATGGTCGTCCAAACGCCACAGGATGGTGTTGTCCCGGTGCGTCGAGCACTATTCCTCACTTCCGGTATCTGTGTGTAACCTCCCTGTTGGATGTATTGCTGCTGCATACCTTTGATGTTTAACTGTAAAGTTACACACGAATCGTTGTAAACATATCCTCGCAAACGTTTAACCAGATTAAATAACAGATGTACGATGTCGTTTGTATCATTTGATATAAAAGTGCACGACGCCTGTCATACTCTGAGAAAGTATTAGTACCACATACAGGAGGATTAGCTATATAACACAGAACACTTAACCCCAATGGCACAGGAGAAAATATCCTGCCGTCCACGGGCACAAAATGGACTTTCACTGGCACAGAAGAAACAATAACGTCCACAAGTACAGGACATAATCTTACTTCCTTTAGTACAGAAATGATTCTAACTTCTATAGGTACAGGACAGGCCGTAACTTCTACAGGTATGTACTAGAGGGCAGCTCGTTACTTTGCCAGATACTATAATTCAGATCTTTTACCTAATCACACGCCCACACACACAGTTGGCACTCTGTTTGTCTCCAGTGCAATGCTTCTTCAATTATGGCTGGGAGACAAAAAAACACTCAGACCGAACCATAATGTAATCAATAACCTAAATGAGCGTAATCTAACCTAACCGAATTTAACAGACTATAGGCTAGCGTAACCTTACAGAAGCTTGCCTAACGGAATACTGTATAACAAATGGATTATATCACAAATTATCTGAAGTAATTAACGCTAACATTATATAACCTAATCCAATCTACTTAACAATATCACAAATTAATGGAAGCTAACTTCCGATTATTTAAGTTATATATATATCAAGTAAGACAGTGAATACTAATACTTGCGAAGAAACTGGATGCAGGAGGACTCCACCCCCTCCCGTCTTGGGGATATAGAGGGACTCCACCCCCTCCCGTCTTGGGGATAAAGAAGGCCTCCACCCCCTCCCGTCTTGGGGATAAAGAAGGCCTCCACCCCCTCCCGTCTTGGGGATATAGAGGCCTCCACTCCCTCCCGTCTTGGGGATATAGAGGACTCCACCCCTCCGTCTTGGGGATAAAGGCCTCCACCCTCCCGTCTTGGGGATAAAGAAGGCCTCCACCCCTCCCTGTCTTGGGGATATAAAGGGCCTCCACCCTCCCTTGGGGATAAAGAAGGCCCACCCCCTCCTGGGGATATAAAGGCCTCCACCCCCTCCCCGTCTTGGGGATAAAGAAGGCTCACCCCTCCCCGTCTTGGGGATATAAAGGGCCTCCACCCTCCCGTCTTGGGGATAAAGCCTCCACCCCTCCCCGTCTTGGGGATAAAGAAGGCCTCCACCCTCCCGTCTTGGGATATAGAGAGCCTCCACCTCCCGTCTTGGGGATATAGAGGGACCCTCCGTCTTGGGGATAGAGCCTCCACCCCCCTCCCGTCTTGGGGATATAGAGAGCCTCCACCCCTCCCTGTCTTGGGGATAAAGAGGCCTCCACCCCTCCCGTCTTGGGGAATAAGAGGCCTCCACCCTCCTGTCTTGGGGATAAAGAAGGCCTCCACCTCCCGTCTTGGGGATATAGAGGGCCTCACCCCCTCCCGTCTTGGGGATAAAGAAGGCCTCCACCCCCTCCCGTCTTGGGGACATACAGGGCCTCCACCCCCTCCCGTCTTGGGGACATACAGGGCCTCCACCCCCTCCCGCCTTGGGGATATAAAGGGCCTCTATCCACTCCCGTCTTGGGGACATAGAGGACCTCCACCCCCTCCCGTCTTCGATCTTAACGTAACCTAAATCTAATTATCTTATTACCTACTCACGTAATTCCACGTACCTCTCAATATGCAACGTATCTTAACGTATGTAGGGTAACGTAACTAACGGAATCCAACCTTTGAGGTAACGAAATCTTACCCAGCCTTACTGTGCATGAGAATAAAAGAAAACTACTATTGGGACTGTAGGATGGGGTTTCCTGAGAAGGGATCTGTCCTTTTGAAATTATGCGGTGGAATTTTCATCGTAATGTGTTTTAATTTAGCCAAATAAATCTTAAACTTACGTTACTATTCACGTTCTCCCATGACTGAGATAAAGTACATACGCTTAACACATATCCTGTGTGTGTGACACTCATCCTGTCTCTGACGCAGGTGTCATGCTCAACACACGCTCACACACCTAAATAATAATTTTACACTCACTTAAGAAAGAAAGAAAAAAGATTGAAATAGCAGTACACTCTGCAGCCGTGTAATAGTTGAGACAATAGTGTATTTGTAACACTTTATTTAGTGTCCAAACACTTCCAAATTAAAAATCTTACACGGTTAAATTTTTTTACTCGTTGCAAGACAATTTTCTTCTTTTTTAAGTCGAAATGTAGTTGATGAATGCAACTGAACATGAACTTTACCCATTATGGTTCCGAGGAAGAGTTGCGTATTCTAATATGATATTTGCCCAATCACACGATATGAAGAAAAAAAAGCGATGTGATAATGTAACAGCGAACAATAACCAACACCATAATATTAATTAAGATTAAAATTTATTTTTCTAAGATGAAACACAATTTACTCCGCTTTACTAAACAACTTAAGCTTCTGAAACTGAAAGCGACGACATAATTTAAGTAATTTACCCGCTACAGAAGGTGATGGTGACAGCCAAGGTGAAGACCGCCGCTGTCAGGATCATGGGCGCCATAACGCCAAACAATCCTTCTCGACAGAGGGTTCGTGGTGCGACTGAACACGCACCGTGGCTCGCTCGTTTATATGCTGCGTGGAAGATCCCAGAAAAAACAAACAAACACCATTAACCTGGTTCAACGATGCTACACAGCAACATATATACAGAGTATTCTAACTTACCTCATCTTTGATTAGCTTCCTTATAACTATGTTATGACAGGGTCTAATATTATTAGATCCTGTCATAACATTGTTGGTCTGCTATAGATATATAAAAGACAAAATAAAAATAATTAAAATAACGTCGTTGATTTTATAAATCCTCGAAAGAACTGCATTTTGTTTCAAATATTTTCACGGGTTGACTTGCTGGCTAAAGTACTTTACCTAAGTATTAAGTAATCAATCGTATTTTTTTTTATGAATTAGGGAGTAATCTTAATTTTATATAATACCAAGATAAATATGAAATAAACACTGGAAATATATTTTTCTTCCGGAAACGGAACAGCTTTGACACCGTCGTTCAATTTCACTCGGGAATTTCACGAAATTACTAAAATATTTAGGAATTTCACGAAATTATTGAAATATTGTTATTATTTTTACACGATCTTACTGAATGGTTTTAAACAATTTGTCGAGATTTCTAGATCATTTATGCCTTACTTCCTAATACACGTACGGTACAGTATACCTGTAACAACAAATTGTTGACTTGTCTCCTAGTGAGTTTACCTACAGTCTGTTTTACACATTAGAACAACATTGAATTGAATGACAAGAGTATAAAGATAATGTTATATCGTGTGGACGTCTTCGAAAGCGTTGATTTAAAAAAAATGACTTCTTAAAGATATATGACGATTTAATATACTGTAGCTGTGTTTCATCTCATTTGGTGTTTTATTTTGTTTTATTTAGTTAATAATCTGAGTTAATCAAAATAAGAATTAGGTCGTTCGTAACGTTTCTCAGTAAAGAAAAAAATGGTGTTGGACGGACACTTGTAATTCCTATGACTAATTTACGTTTTTTCTCGACAGAGAAAAACAGTTGACTTAACATATACAGTACGCAGAACTATGAGGGGTAAAGAGACTTACTAGTATTTGGCATCACTCTTTTTAGAGAAAATGTAGACCTGCACTGATCTTGGTTGAAGGATGGAAGTATCCATCATCTCCTGTGTTACCGTTTATAAATTTTTGGTTTAAAGATCACTATAGTTGGCGTCACCCTGGCACCTTTTTCGTCTACTTTCCGTTTTCTGTCGTTTGTCCACCAGTTGTGAATTTTTCAAGACCTTCTCGCTCAGAAAAAACGTATCACCTGATTGGTTTGCTCCAATTTCCGTAGTCACGTTAAGATCTATACTAGATAATGAGGATATTTATATACAATAAATATCAAGCTAAGCAAAATAACCAAATTTAATTGTAAAGAACTTATATCGATTTTTTAATAAATTGCGTTAGCATAATTCTTTTTTTATATAGATATTCGTTAATACATCTGATATACCTGTATTTGTTTACATTGAGAGGTCTGTCCTTGGCTACTGTATCTAATCCTTTATAGACACGCGCTAGTTCTCCATACATGTGTGAAAGGGCGCTCTGAAGAATATGTAAATTTTTAGAAAAATTATGCCAGAAAGTGTTGGAAAAGTGACCTAATTCACGAATGTTGTTTCAGGCAGGATAATCATGGCCCAAGACATGACTGGTGACGCCAGACTTTTTCTACCACCAAGGCCAGGTGAGCACTAGTGTACTTCTGCTCTTATTATGATACCCTGAACAAGTTTAGGTAATTATTCAGGTAATGACCATTGCTTTTTTCACTGAAAATGGATTTAAAATACCCAGTTTTCACTGATTTTATGAGGGAATACTGTATTATGTTGTGGAAAACCTTAAAATTGGCTGGAATCATGTGCTAACCTAACCAACCTAAGACAACCTAACCTAACACAGGAAAATGAGGTAAACGCGATTTAGCCAGAACCAAAAAAAATCCTGCATGAATTTTGCTGCTTTTGTATTGGATATAGCTTTTTTGTGAATTTATAGTAATACACTGGGCTTTCTCTCGCTATTTTTGTATATGTATTTCGTAATGTTTAGACAATTCTAAGACATTTTTCTCTGATATTTCCGCCGGAAATTAAGGATAACCGAGATATTAATTTTTCAATACCAGATTTGCTCAGTCACACGTGTCGCCATGATTTGTTTACATCTGGCGGAGAAGGTGTGGGGTCGTGGTATTTGGGTTCACACTCAGGATGGGATGGAGAAAGGAAACTCACAATGTGCTCTCTGTATACATGTTGTATTAGATGTACAATGCAGCTTGGAGCTGGGAAGTGGCAGCGTGGTTACAAGCGTGATGTAGAGAGAGCTGGTTGGTGAGGATGCTCAGAGGAGGACAGCTTGTGGGTCGCCGGCGGGAGCGAGGACCGCCAGGCAGGCGGAGGAGTAGGAGGTGTTGCTGGCTGGTTGGTGTAGGTAGAAAGAGAGTGGTCACCACGAGGTCAGGCATATATTGGAAAAATCAACTTAGCGATAATGAATCTGAAGATTTTCTAGAAGTAGTACAAGATAGTTTTTTATATCAATTCATAAACTCGCCCACTAGAGGAAATAATATCCTCGATTTAGTTCTCAGTAATAATGAAAATCTAGTAAAAGATGTTGGGATTGGAGACGAACTAGGAAACAGTGATCATAAAGCCATATATTTTAACATAATATGGGATGGCAGGAAGAAGGAAAATTCGGCCTTGATCCCGGATTTTAGGAAGGCTAATTACGGTAGCTTAAGGAGAGACCTAAGGGATGACCCTATGGTCAAAAGATTAATCCCCCCCACACCTCAGGAAACTGTCAACTTAGGACGGGATAACCCCGAATTTAATTTAGCAGCTACTTATGAACAATTTATTGCGACAATCAATAATGCCCAAAATAAACACATCCCTAAAAGAAAATTCAGATCGATACGAAACCAACCAAAATGGATGAATAATAGACTCTTAGATCTTCTAGGGAAAAAGAAAGGAGTATATAGAAAAGTTAAGAAAGGCGAAAATCACTTACTTGGTTACTATCAGAACCTAACAAGACAGGTACAAACAGAAATTAGGAAAGCAAAGAGAAATTATGAAATCAAGGTAGTAAACGAATCGAAAAATAACCCCAAAGCTTTTTATCAACTGTATAAATCAAAGGTTAGAGATACAATAGGTCCCCTTAAAACTACGACAGGAGAAATGACTGATGATGAGTTAGAAATGTGTAGTACGTTAAATAGTCATTTTCGCTCCGAATTCACAAATGAAAACATAGCACAGTTTCCAGAAGTTCATAAGGTATATAACGACAGTATAGAAAATATGTTGATGAATATCAATATTACTAGTAACGATGTGCTTAAAGTAATTAACAAACTGAAGCCTCATAAATCGCCTGGTCCAGACGAGGTATATGCTAGAATATTAAAAGAATGTAGAGATGAGTTGAGTAATCCATTAGCAGTTTTATTTAATAAGTCATTAGAATCGGGCCTCGTGCCAGAAGCTTGGAAACTTGCTGATTTTCAAAAAGGGTGATAAATCAATAGCATCAAATTACCGTCCCATTAGTCTCACGTCAATCATAGGCAAGTTGCTTGAGTCAATTATTGCTACAAAAATCAGAAGCCGCCTTGAAACATTCAACTTAATTCATTCTTCTCAGCACGGGTTCACCCAGGGACGTTCTTGTCTCACAAATTTGCTTAGCTTTTTCTCAGAAGTATTTGAAGCGGTAGATAATGATAAGTCATATGATATAATTTATTTAGATTTCAGTAAAGCATTCGATAGAGTCCCTCATGAGAGATTGATAAGGAAGGTAGAAGCACATGGAATAGGTGGATCAGTATTAAAATGGATTAGGTCATGGTTAACTGGTAGGAAACAAAGAGTCAGCATAAATAGATTAAAGTCAGACTGGGGTGCGGTCAAAAGCGGAGTTCCCCAGGGATCTGTATTAGGCCCTCTGCTGTTTGTTATATTCATTAATGATCTTGATTTAGGTATAACTAGTAGGATTAGTAAATTTGCAGATGATACCAAAATGGGGAGAGTGATAAATTCAGACAGTGACTTTGAACATCTTCAAAGAGATCTAGATACCTTACATGAGTGGTCAGTAGACTGGCAAATGAATTTTAATAGTGATAAATGCAAGGTACTACAGATAGGGAAGACGAATACAAACGTTAAGTATAAACTAGGTAACACGGAAATAGAAAACTCAGTTTGTGAAAAAAATCAAGGTGTATTTGTTAGCAACGACTTGAAACCTAGAAAACAATGTATTAGCGTTCGCAACAAGGCAAACAGGATTCTTGGGTTCATATCTAGGTCTGTGAGTAACAGAACTAAGGATGTTACTTGAAACTTTACCTAGCATTAGTGGGGAGGCCACATATGGATTTACAGTGGTCTGCCCAGGTCCTTATTATAGAATGGACATAGATTCTTTGGAGAGAGTACAAAGAAGAATGACAAAAATGATCCATAATATTAGAAACCTTCCATATGAAGAAAGACTGAAAAGCTTAGGCTTACATTCATTAGAGAGGCGTAGAGTTAGGGGAGATATGATAGAGGTGTACAAGTGGGTAAGTGGGATTAACAAGGGTAAAATGGAAGATGTTTTGAAGCTCAGTAATAACGAAATAACTAGAACAAATGGCTTTAAATTAGATAAATTCCGATTCAGAAAGGATATAGGCAAGCACTGGTTTGGTAATAGAGTTGTGGATATGTGGAATAGGCTACCGAGTGCTATAGTAGGATCGGGGACGCTAGGGAGCTTCAAGACGAAGTTGGATAGGCACATGGAAGTGCTGGGATGGGTGTGAAAGGGATCTGCCCTGTATGGGCCAGTCGGCCTCCTGCAGTATCCCACTTTCTCATGTTCTTATGTAAATAGCGGAGGTAGGCGTGGCTTAATAGTTGACCTCCGTCATGTAAGGCGGCGCTGGTTGACCTAGACCATGAGGCA